TTTCATTTAGGGTAAAGAGATTTGGGCTAAGCTAGAATGAAATTTACATATCTATGATAGCTGTTTCCATTCTTCTGTCCTTGAAACTTGCTAATCAGTGATAATGTCAGTTTTTTCAATTTAATGGTCTTTTTTTTTTTTTTTTTTTTTAAACGCCTTCAGCACCTGGTCTTCCTAGGTGGTCTCCCATCAAAGTATTAACCAGGCCCAACCCTGCTTAGCTTCCAAGATCAGACAAGATCTGGCACCTTGGGTGGCATGGCTGTAGCTATTCTTTCTTTTTTCTGAAATTATATACTTTTTTTGATTTTAAAATGCCCCTCTAAGTCCTTTCTTGACAAAATTAAAAGAGCAATCATTTGTCAGTCTTACTAGTTAAAAAATGTTGGGTTTTTTTTTTTTTTTTTTTTTTTGCTTGTCTGGGAATCATTGACCTAGAACACCTAATTTTTGTTTGGCACTTTTTCTAAATCACCTCTGAGACCTTGTATTTTCCTAATCAGCTTGAGGTGTAAATTTGAGAGAGGACAGATATAAGCACTGATTTTTTTTTTTTTTTTAATTTGGAAAAGATTCTCTTATTTTCCTTGTTCATTGATCAGTGACTCTCTTAACCACATTCATAGCCACCTCAGACATGAAGGTGGTAGGAAGAGAGGAAAGGAAGGAGAATATAAAGATGTAACCAGTCTTTGGGTCACGATATGCTGTTCAGAAAGATATTGAGTATAAATCTATAAATACACTGTGTGTGCAGTATAATTTTTTTTTTTTAGGGCAAGTTTATAACTTGGATTGAAGAATGCAACCAGTATTATAGGAAAGACAGATAAAATCCCGTTTAAATTTTGGTAAAGGAGAAGTTTGCATATATTAAATGTAGGCGTGGAATGTTTGCGTGTGCAGAATATTTATTGAGTGCTAAGTACCAATCACTGTGCCAGGTGGGGGTACAAAGTAACTGAAATTTAGTTTCTTTCCGAGAGATTTATAGTTTATTGGTGGTGGGGGGAAGGATATGCCTCGTCTTTAAGTTTGAAAATGTTAAGATCAGGAGCCAAAATATGTGGTTTAAAGAATAGATATTGTGAATAATAGTAGAACATAAGATAGTTTTAGCTTAGGGTTTGGCGGATCAGAAACAAGGATAAAGGAAAGTTCAAATGGAGAGAAACAAACATTACATAAGTAGTTGGCGATAAGATTATATTTAAATATTTTAAAATGTATGTGTATCTGCTTTATGGTGAATTTGAAAGCCAGACTGAGATGCTGAAATTTTATCTTTTAATTATTGAAGAGTCATTCAAGTTTGGAAGTAACACAATGAAAGTGGTATTTTGTGACTCTTTGTTTGTGGTGTTAGTGGTATGTATGTTGGAATATAGCAGGGAAAGATTCCAAGATAATGACACTAGTTAGGATTCTGTAGAGGGAAAAATGTTATTTTTCCATTTTCTGGTATGACTATAGTCTCCAAATCAAATCAACACCAATTCTAACTTACTTTGTGGGGATCATGGAATATTTGAATTTGGATTAATTATTAAACATCACTATACAGGGGTAGTTCCAGGTTGTGAGGAGCCCTATTTATGGAAAAAAAAAAAAAAACAAAAATAGTGACTACAAAATTAGTATAAGGCCTTGGAAGGGGCATATTTAAGTATAGGGCCTGAAGCTTAAACTTAATTAGCTTTACGATAAATTCTCTGTACAGTAAATTAGCCTCTGTCTATATGCATATCTTTATCTGTTAAATGAGGATAATACTTAAATGTACAGTGAACATCATCCCAGTTAGTCTAGAATAGTTAAGGTTTCTGCCTGTGGTCCTAGTGGCATTCCCAGTTTAACATTGGTCTTGTATTTAACTAACTGTACCATTAATAGTTCTATATAAATGAGTCCAGATAGATTCAATGAACATTATTGTTTCACCTCTGCGGTGGTTTGAATTAATGCATGAGCCATGTGTACAGTGAAGAGTTCTCATTTTAACATGTGGTTAATTCGGAAGATATCCAGTGATAACTCAGGCCTGACACTTTACAGATGGAAAGTAACTAATAGCTCCTTTTAAAGACAACATGAAGGGCACCTGCTGATAAAGTGTGCTGGCACATGAGCAGTTAGGGACAACTAACTGGCTGGGTGGGGTAGGAGAAGTATTTAGTGCTGTTGTTTTTGCTGGCCGCTTGTACCAGCTAGTTGTACCATTGCATGCTAAAATTTTAGAGATTTGTATAGCCACCATTCCCAGGGGTTGAGATCAATAGGAAACGGGAAATTTTTGATTAGGTATAAGTGAAATATTTGCAAGGAATAGAGGCTAAGCAGTCCTGTCAGAGAGCATACATAGAATAGAAGGAATGTTGTTGCAGTAGTTTTGTCAACAACTTTTCCTTTTAAAATTGGTAATGTGTTTGTAATCTTTTTTTGACAGTAGGGGAGCTCAAATAAAGGAAAATTAATGATAAATTAACTACTGACATTTTATTTTTCAATGAAGTTGATGATGAGCCTATAACCTGTACATAATGTTTGCCAACATTTAGCATCTCTCATCCTTATATCATTGACCATATGACTATCTGAAGACACAATCTACTGAAAAAGCATCAGGATTTACTTTCAGAATTAGTACTTATTTTCAGGAGATTGTAACTGCAGACGGCAATTTGACACATAACAGCAGAATATTGATAAAATTATTTCTGCAATGATAATATGAATACAAAGTTGGTTAGTCATAGCATCTTGAGTGAAACAGAGTTCTTACTAAATTATGCAACTTATGTAGCCAAGATATATTTGGATATACATATTTGGTTATGGTTTACATGTATTTTATAATTGCATCCAGAGAAGCTTAATATTTCACCAAACAGAAGCCGCAGTTGCCAAAATTTCAAACAGTTTTACATATGCACAGTTAATGTAACTGAATTACAATGTTTTTGAGACAATACTAATAATGAATACAAAAAGAATAATTGGTCATGTCCTTATAAGCTTTCTTTGCTGTCTTTCATTAATTGGATTTCACAAACGTTTGAGGTTTTGACAAATTACTTTTTAAATCAATTTATGTGTCCTGTATTGTTATTGAACATTTTTTTTAAAAGGTTCTCTAAATTTTGATAATATTTTGCTTAAAACCAGTTGGATGTCTTTATCCAAAGTATCCCATAAATGAAGTGAAAAAACTTCAGCTTTTAAAGTTTTTAGTGAGTTATAATTATTAAAATAAAGTGTTTAAGATTTAATTGTAAAAAGCCTGAAAATACATCTATATTGAGGTTTCATTCACATTCTAAAACCTTCCACTGTGGACTCAGGAGATGGATGCTCGTGTTTATTATTATATCCTCTAACTGTGAAACAATTTTTGTGTGGAAATACTGTGAGAATTCAGTCTCTCAGAACTTATTTTAATTAGGCTCTGTATTCTGAGTATTAGATAGATTTCTGCCTTATGGATTTGACTGTTTTTTTCTCAGTACATTACCTTTTGAAATTCATCTTTAAAAACGTTTTTCTTGTTTTAGAAGACCTTACTTAAAAGCCATAACATTCTAACATATATCGTTACTATTCTTAACACATCAGATAGACTTGCTTTAGTTTTGTGGAAAGACAATTGTAAGTACTTTTTCTAGGCTAGTTACTGTCCTGAATTTTAATAAGTCTGCTAGCTAACAGTGTCGTTTTCAGGTTAATTTCAATCTAATAGGCTATACAATATTGTTTTTCATTTGTTAGTTATTGCTCTATTAATTTTATTTACATTTTTTACAACCTAAAATATTATATGATTGTAACAATCTGGAAACAGTTTCTTTTGCGTGGCAGCATACCTACCACTCAAAAAATTAAGCAGCAAACTAAAAAGCAAAATAAAAGAAACAAAAAAGAACAATTGAAGACTAACAACAAGGCATATGATACCTGGGAGATGACTGCTCATTGGTTTATCATTATATACTGTAATGTAGCTTCAGTTTCTCCTGAGTACTCCATTTAAAATGTACATTAGTGTTGTTTTGATATTTCTTTGACAGCCTTATTACCTCTGTGTCTATTTTTTTCATGAAGAAAGTATATCTTTAGCATTTTCCTCTTTAAATCTTTCCTTACTAGAAAGAATAGCAAGTGGCAGAATGCCCTGATACTTTTCTGTAGTCAGTATGGATTTCTTTCTTTTTTTTCTCTCTCTCTCTCCCTCCTCTTCCCTTCTTTCTTTTCCTTCCCTCCCTTAACCTCTTTATACCTCTGTATTTTACTTTTTCTTTTTTTTCTTAACAAAGAATAATGTAACAAATATTTATATTTCTAAATCCCCAAATTGATAACTTGTGGAGTGTTCTGTGGAAAGGTTATGACCTTCTGATTTTCCTTTTCATATGTAGCTGTAATGGCAACTAATATTATTCAAACTTATTGAAAGAGATCGTTGTATATTTCTTTAAAAATCCATTTTCTAGAGTGACATAATGATTTCTATTAAAAAGATGAGCCTTGTTCCCACCTCCTCATCCCCAATTGGTAATTTAAATTTCATGACAAGAATAAGAGAAACTCTTAGTTATTTTTTATAAAGTACACATAAATTTTAAATTTCATGAATAAACTGACATTTGAAGGGAGTCTTGATGATATTGAAAATTTTGAATACAAAAATATCTATGGAGAAGAAAAGTGTACATTTTAGTTTGGTTAAAGTATTGGAATGCATGAAGTGGAACAATGGAAAACAGTGTTGAAATCTAAGTTGGGGACAGGCTATGGAAGTCATGTCCCTAACTGATAATCAGAGATTTTTATTGCAATTTCCATTGTAGTAATATATATTAGAGAACGTTTGGATAAAATCAAGGAGGCTCTTTAAAATATACTTACGGCAGTTAGCTAGGAACCAAGTTACCTTGGTTGAGTCATCAATTCAAGTGGAGGTGACAGCCAAGAGATCAGGAAGTCTGAGACTCAGAAGAGCAGCAATGGAAGAATTAGGAAAGATTACCAAGAGTGGAGATGTGTCAGTAGAGACCAAGACCAAGATCATCTACAATCTCATATCCTCAGTTACTATGTACAGATGTAAAAGTCGGACAGCGAAGAATGTTGATAGGAAAAAAATGATCTATTGAAATATGGTGTTGGAGGAAGATCTGTGGATACCCTGGACCTCCAGAAAGATGACATGTAAGGCCTAGAGCAAATGAAGCCTTAAATATCACTGGAGACAAAATGATAAAACCAAAACTGTCCTACTTTGGGTATATCATGAGAAGGCAGGATTCTTTGGAAAAGTCAACAATGCTGGAAAAAATGGAAACAGAGAAAGAGGAAGATCAAATAGGAGATAGGTTAATTCCATAAAAAAAAAAGCCATAGGCCTGAGTTTACAAAAGTGACATAGGGCTGTTGAGGACAGGAAGTTGTGGACATCACTCAGAGTTTCCTGGAGTAGGAGCTAACTCATTAGCATGTAGCACACACACAGCTACGTACTTGATACTACAGGAGTCAGCAGCAAATGATTTTGGGGGATTCACATTTTATATATGGCAAGCTGTTTTAATTACGTTCACATTTGTTCCTTTTGTCAGATATAAAATTCTATCCAGTGTCCTTTATTATTTCGTGGCTTTGTTCTCCCATCTTTGCTATCTTATTTTTTTTTTCTAGTTTTACTGAGGTATAATTGACAAAATTGTAAGATAGTTAAAGTGTACAGTGTGATTTGATATATCTATTATGTAAAGATTGTGAAAGGATTTCCCTCATCAAGTTAATTAACATATTCACACATCCACTTTTTTTGGTAAGAACATTTAAATACTCTCAGCAAATTTCAGTTATACAATACAATGTTTTCAACTCTAGTTACGCTATAATACATTAGATCCTCAGACTTTATTCATCTTATACCTGAAAGTTATACCCTTTTACAGACCTCTGACACTATACACAGTTATTATAATGTTATTGATTGAATTCCTTATGCTGTACTTTACATCCTCATGATTTTTTATAACTGGCAACCGCACATCTTAATCCCCTCCCCCTTTTTACCCCTCCCCCAACCCCTCTGGCAATGCCAAAATATTCTCTGTGTTTGTGAGTTTGTTCCTGTCTTGTTTGTTTCTTGTTTGTTTTTTAAATTGCACATATAAGTGAAATCATATGATATTTGTCTTTGTCTTATTTTACTTAGCTTAATACTCTAGACCCATCCATGTCACAAATGGCCAAGATTACACTCTTTTTTTATGGCTGAGTAATAGTCCATCAAATATATGTATCACATCTTCATTCATTCATGTATGAATGGACACTTAGGTTGCTTCCATATCTTGGCTGTTATAAATAATGCTGCAATGAACACAGGGATGCATATGTCCCATTGAACTAGTGTTTTGGGGTTTCTTCAGGTTAAATACCCAGAAACAAAATGGGTCCTTCTTGTTATAGCCCTTGTTTTGAAGTCTCTCTTGTTTGTTAAGCCGATCTATATCTTTTGATTGGAAAATTGAGACCATTTACATTCAATTATTGATAGGTTATGGACTTACTATTGCCATTTTGTTAATTGTTTTTTGGTTGTTTCATAATTCCTCTGTTCCTTCTCTTGCTTTCTACCTTTGATGATTTTCTATAGTGTTATGCTTTGATTCCTTTCTCTGTAACTTTTGTGTATCTACTGTAGGCTTTTACTTTGTGATTACCGAGGCTTATATAAACATAAGTCTTTGAAGCTGATAATAACTAATTTCAAACATATATCAAAGCTGTCTCATGCCCATATTTTATATTTTGATGTCACAGTCTGCATCATTTTCATTGTGTATCCATTATCAAATTATCGTAGTTATTTTTAATTATCTAGGTTTTTAACCTTTATAATAGAATTATAATTGGTTTACTCACCACCATTATATTATTCTGAATTTAACTATTTATCTTTACCAGTGAGTTTTATACTTTCAAATATTTTCTTGTTACTAATTAGCATCCTTTTATGTGATTTTTGAAGAACTCCCTCCAACATTTCTGGTATGGCTACTCTAGTGGTCATAAACTCCTTCAGCTTTTGTTTGACTGGAAACTCTTTATCCCTTTTTCGGTTCTGAAGGACAATTTGTCAGGCAGAGTATTCTTAGTTGGCAGGTTTTTTTTCTTTCAGCACTTTGAATGCTGTGCCACTCCCTTATGTACTGCAGAGTGTAGTCTTATGGTGGTTCTCCTGTATGTAATAAGTTGCTTTTCTCTTGCAGCTTTTAAGATTCTCTCTTTGTCTTTAACTTTGACAGTTGAATTATGATGTGTCTTGGTGTTTGTCTCTTTGGATTCTGTTTATTTGGTCCTTTATGGGTTTCTTGGACGTGAATGTCTGTTACTTTTCTCAGGTTCGAGAAGTTTTCAGCCATTATTTGAGTAAGCTTTCTTTCCCTTTTTCTCCTCTCCTTTTGGGACCCCTATAATATGTATATAATATGTTTTACGTTTTCCATACGTCCTTTATGCTCTCTTTATTATTTTTCATTTTTTTTCTTTTTGCTCTTTTGATTGGGTGGATTCTACCACCGTCTTTGAGTTCACTGATCTTTCTTCCAGTTATCCATTCTCTTACTGAACTTCTTTGTTGAATTTTTCAGTTCAGTTATTGTTCAGTTCTGTGATTTCTGTTTGGTACTTTTTAATATTTTCTGTATCTTTGTTTAAATTATGCATTTCTCTGCTGACTTCAGCATCTTTATGGCCATTTTGAACTTTCTATCATTCAAATAACTTTTTTCCATTTCATTAAGATCTGTTACTGGAGATTTAGTTTGTTCTTTCGTTTGGAACACATTCCTTTGTTTCTTCATTTTCCTTGACCCTCTGTTTTGGCTTTTGCATGTTAGATAAAACATCCACCCTTCCCAATTTTGAAAGAATGGTCTCACATAGAAGATGAACCTCATTGATCAGCCTGGTCTTTCTCCTAGTTGTCTCTCAAATTTTTGTGATAGTCCAAGCCTCCTTTTTTGTTCTTAGTGTCTACTAGTAGTTGAGGGTGTAACAAGATCCATCAGCTTCCTAATGGGGAGGATCACAGTCAACATCTAGATGCTGGCTGATTAGAAGCCCAACCCTCAGCAGCAGCTAGGGTAAGTAGTTAAGACCCTTCCAGAGAAACTGGGAGATGAGCTTTTTTTTTTTTTTTCCTGATCCCTCTTTTCTGGACCCAGTGTACAGCCTCCGGATGGTGTTCTGGTGCCCAACAAGGATTATTTCTGTGTTACATTCCTGTGGGACTAGTCTAGTGACTAGTAGGCCGATCCGGCAATTGACCTTGAATTCCTAATTCATTTCTTTCAGCCAGGAATAGGGATTATTTAATATATAGAATTTGGTGAGAGCCATGAAAGTGTCCAGGATAATGGAAAATCAGCCTGGAATAAAGTCACTTGAGTTATACATATCTGAAGACTCTATTTATACTTTGACATGTTTCTATTTCTGCTGAGCTTTATAATGAGGGAACTGCTTATGTAATTGATATTTTCTCCTTTTAATCTGAATTGTTTAATATTGCTGTCTCTCATACTTCTTATGTATCTGAATTTTGAAAAGTCACTTTACTTTCTATGCCTAAATATTGTAAATTTTAAAATGGAGAATAAACTAAATTCTGAGGTCTACTCCAGATTTAGCATTTGATGAGTAAATGAAATGTAATTTATTTCCTTTTTCTTTTCTAAAGTCTGAATGCCACTAGTATACTTATGATGCTTTATTGAGCAGAATGTACCAGATTCTGTGCTCAGCGAGCTCAAAATGGTCAGTTAAGACGTAGCTACTGGAAATATGTTAAAGAACAGGTTTGGTAAGTTGCAGAGCCTGGAGACATTCAATAAATGTCATTTATATAGTTTATGAAAATCACGGAAAAATGAACAGCTTTGTAAATTCACAGTTCACATAGTTAGAAGCCAGTATGCTGCATTGGTTAAAAACTGCAAAACATGAATTCTTGGATTTGAATCCTGCATCTACCACTTATTAGCAGTGTGACTATGGACATGTTACTTAACCTCTCTGTGTCTTAGTTTCTTCATCAGTAAAATGAGGATAAAAATAAAACTTTAAAGAGTTACTGTGAAGATTAAACGAGCTTACATATATAAAGTATGTGACATAGCTAGAATGGTACAAGATACATGGTATTCATTAGCAATTATCATTTTTATGTTATTACATAATCTCGTAGCTAAGGTACATTTCGTCATTTTACTTATAATTCTTAGACAAATCTTGAATTTGAGACCATGATTTGATGTATATCCAAAAGATATTTTGTGCAGATCTACTTGTATTGTCACAAATGTTTTATAGCATTCCACTATTATTAGTAGAGCAAATATTTTATAATCATTAAATATTGCAGTGTCATTTTGATTCAGTGCAGTATTTGGCACAAAGATCATAAGACTGAAGCACATCTTTAATGACTGGCAATTTTTTAAGGAAGGTATGAGATTTCAAGTACAAATAGCTGATATATTAATGTAACTGAAGTTACTCTAATAATAAATAAACATTTCCTTAGATTCCTTATATAAGTTTCTCTGTTCTCCATTGATTTTAGTATTGAAATACAAAGAAAGGCAAAGAAAATAGCAGTGTTGACCAAGAATATTGCAATCAGATATGAATATTCCAGTCATATATCCTTTCCAATCATTGATTTATCTTGATTTTATAATTTAGATTTATTTTATCCTTATCCATTATAGGTCTAGAGTCTTTTATTCTTGGATTTTCTAAGAAAAATTTTACAGAAAGTTGTATACTATAAATACTTAAAGAACATTTTCATAGTTTCAGAAAATAATTATCACTACACTTAGTTTTAATTTCAAATTTTCAATTCAGCTAAAATGGCAATCATTTTAGAGACCGTTTTTTAATAATTTTTATCCTTCCCTTTTCAGGACCAGGGTTCTGATCAAACAGGAAAAGAGAAAGCAAAAGGTAAAGAAAAATTTTTACTTGTGTTAGCTTTATGAAAAAAGTGATCTTCTGTAGCATTTTCCCCAGGTTCATAAATTCACCTAAGTGAAACTGGAAGGCTGTTTTCCCCATCTTTGTTGATAGCTTGATTAGCCACCTGTTTTGTTCAGGCAGAGACTTAAGGATCATTGTTGATTCTTGTCATTCTAATTCCAAAATATATCCCAAGTCTGATCACTTCTCATTACCTATACTATTAGCACTCTGATTCACATTGTTGTCATTTATTCCTTAGAGTAATATAATGGCCTTATAACCTATGTCCTACTTTAAAAATTTTTTTTACTACATTGATTGTATATACTACATCAGTAGGAAAGTTGAGCATGTACATATCTTACAACCAAGCAGTATATATCTGAGAGAAAATCTTCCACATATGCACTTTGTGCCATGTATCAACTTGTTTGGATTATTGTTTTAAGTAGCAAACAAAAAAGAATCTGGAGAAAAGAGAGGAAGAAAAAGATCAGGGGAGGGGTTAGGGAAAGGGACCATCCAAATGTTTATTAACAGTAGAATGATTAAACAAGTTGTGGAATACCTAAGTAATGGTAGAGCAGTGAAAATGTATCAACTACATGTAATTAAAGTAGATGAATTGTAAAAACATAACATTGAACAAATGAAGAAACTCACAGAATACAAGAAGTAAAACTCCATTTACAAAAAGTTTCAAAAGAGAAAATAATATGTTCAAAGACAGTAAAATTTGGAGGAAACCAAGGAAGAGATTATTATGAAGGCAGGATAGTTGGTAACACTGTGAGATGGTGCTTCGTAAATTTAATTTGTATTTCCTTGATTAGAAATGAGACAATTTTTTAAATTCAGGGTTCTTGTTTTGTGAGGTACTTTTCGAAGATTTCAGTTTTTATTTGGGTTGTTTATCTTTTTCTTATTGTGATTTTGTATATTTAAGACTTAGTCATATATATACTCTTTGGTTTTTATTTTTACTTTCTTAATGCTTTGAAAGAAAGTTCTTAATGTAATTGAAGTTGTCAAATTTTTTTTTGCTTTGTCTCCTACCCCTTTGTAGTCTGTTCTTTGCTCAATGGTTAGTATGATATTTTAAAAGTACGAATCACAATTTATCATTCCCCATCTTAAAAGCCTCAATTGCTTTTCATTGCTTTTAAAGTAAAATGTGATTTAACCAGAGTCTACACGAGCCTGAGGAATCTGCACCCTGCTTGCTTCTCTGACATTGTTTCTTACCATTTGCACTATTGTTTATTGTATTTTGGCTACACTGACCTCTTTCTGCCACTCTTCTTTTGTCTGGAAAATTCTCCTTCTAGATATTTGCATGTCTGCCTTGTCAATCATTCGATCTCAGCCAAAGTATCTCCTCTTAGATTGGCTTTCTCTGATTACTACATCTAAATAGCTTCCCACTCTTCCGTTTCTCTCTCTCCTGTGCCTTCCTTTATTCATCACTCTTTTCATAATCTGGTATTTTTGAATAAATTTTTTTATTCTGTTCTCCTCCCACCTCCCTTAAAATATATCCACGAGAAGAGGGATCTTCTTACTTTTACTTTTGTTTATTCTGTGTTGCTGGTGTCGAGAATTGTGTCCAGCAAAACACAGCAATGTTAAATATACTTTGAATGTTGTCTGTCCCCTGACTATTTTAAAAAAAGTATTTTCACTCTATTTGGACCATTGTTTTGAAAATTAATAAGGGTAAAGACAAATGGTCCTTCCCCTATCTCTAGTCATGCCATTTTCCTATTCTTTAAAAATTTCATATCTTCCTTTGCCTCCCCAAACCTCTCTTCTCCAACCCTAGTCTTTATTCCTTCATACTCATTAGATGACCTTGTCTCATATTTCAGAGGAAACAAAAGCTATTAGATGAGAAGTATCTCAAATTTCTCTTACACCTTCATCCATCTTC